TGCGGGGGGTCACAGGACAATGCTTGGGGTCACAGGGCAATGCTGGGGTGCAGGGGGTCACGGAACAATGCCTGGAAGAACCGGTGTGCTAGATGCTAAGCATTTCTGAAAAAGTGGACCAGTGAGGGGTGACGGCCTCCCCAGAAAGCAAAACGTGGTACACGGGTGTAACAGGTGCTCTGTGTCAGCGACAGAGACGTGAAGTCGAGAAATACATCTGAGAACACACAGACAAACGTGCTGCATAATAATGAGCCTTCATGTCACCAGGAAATAGTGAGTAACAAATCATTCGTATAAAACGTCCAGATCCTCACCTCAAATCCTATACCAAAATAAATCCCAAATGGATTAAAGATTTCCTCATAGTACTGTTTTAAAAACGGCTGTCCCCACATGCACGGAGCGGAGACTGAAGGCTGGGGGCAGGAAGCCACGGGACGGACACCATGTGGCCCCCTGCGAGCGGGGCACCAACAGCCGTTGGACTCAGAGCCACAAAGACCAGTGGCCACCGGGGTGCGGGGCTGGGGGCTCGGGAGGCATCCGACAAGATGAGGGTGCAGAGAAGAGGCTGAGGGCAGGACTGGGGTGTGGGTCCAGGACAGAGACAGCACAGACGTGCGGGCTGACGGGGGTGACGGGCAGGGGTCCTGGGCACAGGTGCGGGGCTGGCTCCACTCGGGCATCCTGCGGCACCGCCCGGTGGACGCCCTCTGGGCCACATGGCACCCTGTGCGGGGTCTGGCCGTGGCCCCCAGGCCTCTTCCACACCAGATCCCTCAGGGGACCTGAGCTGACTGGCCTCTGCCGGGTGAAGGAGGGCAGCGAGCACAGGTGAGCAGGCCGGGGCCGGTGGGGAAGGCCGGCAGGCCCGCTCCCTCTGGGAGCGAAGATGCAAGGCCTCAGCTCAGAGGAGGGGCTGCTGAGGACACAGGAGCGCAGCATCTTGTGTCTCGTGTCTCGGGGAGAACGGGTGGAGAGAGACGGCCCGGCTGGGGGCTGACTCCTCCAGACTTGCCCTGCCCCCCCCCATGCAGGGGCACAGCAGGTGGGCGGCAACTGACCCAAACAGAGGGCGACGCCCAGGGGGGGCCTGCAGGACGGGCCAGGCACCTGGGTGGATGCTGAGCTTGTGGGGGCACACGGGAACGGGCAGCCAGTGAAGGGGGCACCCGGGTCAGCTGGAAAGGTGACGTGGGTCCCAGAGCCTGAGTCTCGGAGATGCTGGGGTCTGGGGCAGGGCTCCAGGAATGGGCCGGGGTCGGGGGCAGCCGTGTAAGAGGTCAACGGTGGCAGATTCAGGGGTCCGGGATGGGTGGGCTCCACCTTGCTCTGGAGCCCTCCCCGCGCGGAGCAAAGCCCGGGCCCCGGGAAAGCCTGGCCCCCCGTGGGCACGTTCCTGTGGCACCGGCTCGCAGCCCCACACGCCTGGCTTTGATGATAAGTTACAGCAGCATCTTCAGGGAGGAAAAGGGTCTCTCCAGATCTTTACTTAAAAGATGGTGGCAACTGACGGGGAAACTAAAGACGGGCCTCAGGCCTCCTTGAACTCGGCCCTGAGCTCTCAGCCTGGAGAGGGCCTGGCTTGATGGCCCGGAGATGCGCAAGCCAGCAAGCCCTGGTGAGCCTGCCCTGAGAGCCCCAGGCCGGGCCCCTGGCACCCCCGCGGCCCCTGAACGTGGGCTCCAGAGCCTGGGGCTGAGGGTGGAGCAAGACCTCGGCCCCGAGGGGCTGACGGTCTGGGGTGCGCGCAGGCCAGGCACTGATACTTCCCACGGCTCAGCTGTGGGGGCCATCGCAAGGACCCAGCCACACGTGGAGGAGCCGGTGCCCTGGGGGAGGGAGGGGCCGCTGTCCCCTTGCGGGGCGGGGGGTGGGGGGGGCGCGGGTCAGGCCCTCCTGAAACACTGCTCTTTGTTCCAAGGCAAGAACCTGCAAGGCCCGGGAGCGTATGGGAGGAGACGTGCGCACGGCTGGGCCGGCGCTGGATCAGGGGCCGGCAGAGAAGGGTGCGCTGGGTGGGCGTGGTGGGGGCAGGGCGGGTCTGCACCACAGTTCTGCTCTGCACAGGCCCATCTGCCAGTGACCTGCACACGCTCCCTTCTCCCCACATTCCGAACACTGGGCTGCCTGCCCTTCATCGGACGGGACTGTGCCCTGGGTGTGCTGGGGGGACCCGATCCTGCCAGACCTTTAGGACCATCTTCCAGGTCAACCAGCCCGGGCAGAGGCTCCCCTGCGTGCTGGGGCGGAAGCAGGCTCCCTGGCCCCCTGCACAGGTAAGGGTCCAGCGGTTGGTGTGGCTGTGCCCGCTCGCACCCCCAGGCAGGCACGGACACCCTGCACTCACTGCCCCGGGACAGCGGCCGAGGGGACCCTCACCTGCATCTTGACAGCAATCACCACCGAGATGAGCTCCTTCTCCAGCTCCTTGAACACCACCAGCTTCTTCAAGGTCAGGCTGCACAACCTGCAGAGGGCAAAGGCCTGCTCAGTGTGGACCACACCTTCCCACACCGCCTCCAGCCCTAGGAACGCCCCGCCCTCAGGAGCTCCAGCCTCAGACAAGGCCCTCACACCTCCTGGGGGCCCTCAGCTAGGCTCAGGGGCCCCTCAAGAGTCCCTGCGGTGGTGGATGCCCCTCAGCATCCCCTTGCTCCAGAGGGCCCCAGAGGGTGGGTCTCCCACCTGTGGGGGAAGCTCAGTGCAGGTCTGTGGGCAGGCAGCCCAGACAAGGGCACGCAGACCAGGAGCCCCCAGGGACCAGGTGCCAGCTACCGAGCTCCACTCCCAGCTCCCAGAGCACAGGCCTCTGCAGGCTCCACCCCAGGCCCAAGCCCCTCACCTCCACCCTGTCCCCACACCAGTGTGGGGTCTCAGGCCCGGTCCCCACCTGCCCTGCCCCCCACCTCCGCAGGGTCCCCGGAGACACCACCACCACCTCTGGTGGCCCACTGCACACACCTGCCCCCCCAGTGCCCATGTCCCCGAGCCCACGGTGAGCTTTCCCTGAACCCTCACACTGGGTTCACCACTCTGAGTGTGGGGTGGAGGCAGGGCGTGTGGGCCCTGCCTAGGGAAGGGGTCCTGTGTCCCCCATGGTCCTCCGGTCCTCCGGTCCTGGTCCTCCAGCGGGGAACCTCCCCCTCCTGCTGGGCCTGCCTTGCAATCCTGGCCTGCAGGACCGTTCAGCTGCACGAAGCTTTACCTTCCCGGAAGCAGCAGAACCACCCCACCAAGGAGCCCAGGCAGAGGCGCTCCGGGGGGTGGGGGGTGCAACACCGAAATCAACCGGGACCACTCTGCAGCTCCTTGAAGCCCTGGCTTCTTTTCCCGCTCAGACGTCAGCCCGCTGTTCACGGGGACAGCGCTGCCACATGGCGGTCAGTGTACCACTTGCCGCTGCCCGCCCACACAGCTTCAAGCGCAAAGAGCAAGTCGCCAAACCTGTGTTGGAGTCAAACAGGTCCTACTTGGGACGCCACACTCTCCACGCCCACCTACACCGCAAGCAGCAGGACCGACGCTGACGTGGTGGGGACAGCGGGAGTGGCCCATTTCCTGACCGGAGACTCTACACTCCTCTGTGTCTGCCTCAGAGGAAGCATGGGGACAGGGGCGCCAGAAGGAAGACCCCGGGCCCCCTCAACTCACATTTCTACATCCAGGCAGCAGGGAGTGACAGGCTGAGGCCGGGGAGCTCAGGTCTGGATATAGGGCCTGGGTCTGGTCGACAGTGTGGCTTTGGAAAGTTTCACAGGCTCTGTGACCACCTGCCAGCCACCCATGGAACAGAGACACCCACCACCATCCTGGGCTTCGTATGGAGACCCCACCACCGTCCTGGGCATGGAGCAGAGACACCCACCACCATCCTGGGCTT